AACAACAACAAAATGCTGCTATTACACAGATTTCCAGCACATACATGTGGCATAACGGTTTTTGCTTGTACATCTCAACTGTAACTAAAACTAGCTTTAAGACCTTGTCAATTAAAGTATCTATATATATTGAAGACGCTGTCTACAATATGGATGGACATAGAGAATAATATGCAAAGTGAAATAAGTCAGATGGAAAAAGACAAATATCATATGATCTCACTTATCTGTGGAATCTAAAAAACAGAATAAATGAACAAATAAAACAGAAATAGACTCAGAGATATAGGGGGAAAAAAACGACGAATGGTTGCTAGATGGGAGGGGGGATGGGGATGGGGGAGAAGGTACAGGGATTAGAAAGCACAAATTAGTAGTCACAATATTGCCATGGGGATATGAAATACAGTTTGAGAAATACAATCAATAATGTTGTAAAGATTATGTAGGGTGCCAGATGGGCGCTTGTCTTATTAGGGAGACCACTTCATAGACTATGTAGATGCCTGACCACTGCACTGTACACCTGACGCTGAAGTTGAATAATATTGAATATCAACTATAATTAAATACATATATAGAGAGTCACAGGGTATGGAGTACAAGCACAGGGAATACAGTCAATGGAATTTTAAGCTATATACAATGTCAGAGGGGTAGTAGATTGGGGGGTTATCACTTCGTGAGGGGTGAAATGTCTAACTATTACATTGTTTTGTACACCTGAAACTAATACAAACAAACAAACAAACAAACGAATGAATAAATAAATAAAGACACTGACTCGCTTGGCTGCTCTTTCTCACATACTTCTGTTACTCTCAGCATGGTATAGGTGCAAAAATATGTGCTCTGGAGCCAGACAGAGGCCAGAGTTTCAAACACCAGTTCTACCACTTAGCTAGTAGGTAACCATAGACATGATTTTTATGCTTGTGGACACTACAGTTTCAACGCTACAAAAATAATGTGATAAACATTCATTTCCAAAGGTTATTAATTAATGGAAAGTCCAATGTAAAATATAGAGTACAGGTGGGTTTTAGTATAATAATCTCCCTCATTCATGATATGATTATAGACAAACACTTTTATTCTACTGTGAAACCATAAGATAAAAAATAAATTTAAATATGACATTGAAAAAAAGAAAGAGAAATTGGGTCAGCATAGTTGCGTTTAACTGAGAAGTACTCCTGCCCAGTGCCCAAGCTACAGTTATTTCAAATTTTATCGTCTGCACACCTAATAACTCAGATCATCAGCACCCAGGTTCTATATCTTATTACAGTACCTAGTCAGTACCTGAGGCTATTTTTTCTGGGGTCTTTTCATTTTGTTGTTGTTTCTACTTTCTCTTCATTTGAGGTTGGAAGTGAATAGATAACTTAGAACAGAGAGAGAGAGAGAGAGAGAGAGAGAGAGAGAGAGAGAGAGAGAGAGAGAGAATACAATCAAGCCAGTTAGATGTGCTATGTAAATAGCTCCAGCATTGTTTTACCTGGAACAGGAGGAAATGAGGAAGGATAATGTCTAAAATTTGGTGTCAGGCTATCTGCAAAATTTTATGACCCATGTTAGCACCATGAATAGTATCTGTGACTATTGTCCTTAACCTGAATACAATAGTACCCTTCTTAGTAACCAGGAAAAGCCAATGCTGATTCCAAAGGTGCTAAGTGGGTTGTGGTTGAGACACTAAAAAGACCAGGAACAACTTGTAGGGGTGTAGATATGGGGCAGCAAAGCAGACCGAGTGCTCCTCCCCTGAGACAGCTTTGTTCTAAGTATATGCCAGTATCTAAGTATAATTCACTAACATATTTAACTTCTGTTTATATTTGTATATACAATATTTCCCCTTGACAGGAACTTTACTGTTCTCTTGAGCTAAATGTCTATCCTTCAGTTTTCTTGAGGTTATCTGCATATATAGAAACCATCTGAGAGTTTTAATAATTGCATACAACTATTCTTACCTTTAAAAATATCTTACCTCTAAATCATTAAAAAATAAATGTGTATCAGCAAGATTAAAAATCATTTCCTCCATTCGGAGTCCCAGAGTGACAGCCATGGGGGGATCCTGAAAAGAAAATGCACACATAATGAGGTAAAATTTCAGTACTACAGTTATTAAAAATACCTGAAGTGTATATTATTGGGGAGTGGGGGTTGGGATGGGGAGACCGTATGGATTTTTACCTAAGATTCAAAAGATTTCCCAATTATCTGAAAAGGTACCTTTCCAAAGAGTTGTCTAAGACATACTAAATATAGAGACACATCTGTGCATTTACAGGAATTTATAAGCACATAAAGATGACAGGATACATTTTCACATGTTCATGAGTGGGGGGGTAGGGGGAGGAAAGCAAGCTATAATCGTTCATAGGATCCACTTTACAGATACTCATGGGAAGTTCCTTCAGAGAAATATATCTGGATGGGTACTAAAGAATGGAGCAAACTCATTAAAAAGAGGAAAGGACAGCCTTTTATAAATGATGACAAAGAAGAAGTAGGAATGGGAGAAAAGTAGGTCTGCTGGATGTTTGTAGGTCTTGAGCAGACAATGTTGTCTGAAGGTGGGATAAGAAGAGCTGGTGGAGCACAGTGAAACCACCACTTAATTATGAATTGCATTTTGATCAACTGGCCATATTTATCTGCATATGTGTACAGTTTGGTCTAATTTGTATTTGCCTGGGAATGAAGAGAGAAGGGTTGAGGATAATGAAAGGAATATTAACTTAGTAAATGTAATCTAAATAGAAAATATATACATTTAGAAGTTTAATGAAAGTAAGGGATTAGTAAGGAGTCAAAGTGACTTACTTTTTGTTTCCAGAAACCAAGATATTACAGGGCAGCAAGGAGCTGAGAATCAAGACAAGAGTAGATACTTGATTGTGACTAACTATAGTTGAGAGCCTGGCATCAAGAGGTGTAAGACTTTAAAAAGCAAGGAGAGTTTCGGGATAGGGAAGTAATTCAGGCTCAAACATCATGTTTAAAATGATCAAAGTTGGAATGATCTCTAAAGAGAACTACTATAGAACTACTATAGGTGTGACTCTGGAAATAACAGAAAATAAAAATCCTAGAAGAAACAAATCCTCTTCAGAACTTCAGACTAGAATGGATCTAACATTAGCAGGGAGAAGAATATGGTTTCGAACAAGGCTGACAAGTCTAGAAGGATACTATTGATTTTGGCTGAGAAGTTATTTTGGAAGACCTCAGAGGGTGATTTGGGTTGAGTGGCTGGGCCAGGAGCCAGATTGTAAGGCTTTAAGGAGACAGTACCAAACTTGTGTTTTCAATGTTCTAATAAATGGCATTTCAAGAAATGTACTTAAACTTGGGAAAATGTAATGCTAACTTGGCTTCAATTTATGATAAGACTGTGCACCCCAGGTCAGGCCCAGCAGTCTTCACACCCCTCCGCCCCACCCCAAACTTATTCCAGTTAGTAAGTAGAGGCCCCTTCTCATTTCACACCTACACTGCAACAACCAGTATTCTCCCTACACTGCCTCCCATAATGCTTTGAGGGGGAAACGCTGGCATGTAAACATATTCGAAGTGAGCGTCAGCCTCATATTCTGTGGTGACTAAAACCGAGAGACTAGGAATTGAGTGCTAAGCTAAGAAAGAAAGGGCTCACTGAGGTGTGTTGAGCAAAGCTAAGACTTGATATGGGAGAAGAGCAAGTCAGGATGATAATATATTGGATGTCAACATAATTTTCTAATTATTACATCTCTCACTTAGAGACTTCTGTGGATTTCATAGCTCGAAATTCTCTCTTCTCAGAAACAGATGTTCATTGCTCACATACTTGGCGGAACCTGGTCTCGTGGCCTCCTGGCAGGAGGACTCTACTCTGACTCTATGCTGGGTTCATCTGTCTTCCAGAGACAGGATCACGAGGAGCAACATACTCCAAGATCAAATCATTCCATTCTATCCAACAAAGAGTATTCAAGAACAAGGACGAAAGTATGAAGCTCCCATTTTGTGTCTCAAGGAGTTTGGAAGCTTAGGGAGATCTCTTGCTCTGTTTTCTTCAAGTTTACAATTCTTTTTTTTAAAGTTTCATTTTGCTGTTGTTCCTGTTTTTATTGTTGAAAGAAAACCTCTGAAGTTTGAATGAAAATGTTTGAATTTTTAAAATACGCATTTGCCTTTTTTTTTCTATTAAAAAAATTATTTTCTCTCTCTTTGGCGGGGAGAGGGTTGGATAGGCTGAGGACATAGAAAACTTGTAAATATGCTGTCTAGTCATGGGACCATGAACAAAAAGTCTACAGAAATATAAGGAAAAATCAAATGTAATTATAGCATGAAAACATATAATTCCATTAGTGATGCTTTATGCTTTTGAGGAATGTTCGCTGAGGCAAGACAATAAAACTGAGCTCCACACTACTCCGTATGTTTCTGATGATTACTGCCCTAAAGATATATGTTTCAGATGGGGGACTCAGAAATGTCTTGTTTAAAAGGTTTTCCTTCTCAAGACGAGGTTGCTTAAGTTCTTATCCTTCGATTTGCCAATTTTCCTTTTTTAAGTTTTAAATAAAATTATTGACTTTCTTCTGTTCATGCTTCACATTCTTTGCATTTACAGATCAGATCTATGGGGATGGGAGAAAACACACTGTTTCTCTTTGATTGTTACTTTCATCCATTCCATGCTTCTGAGTATGTAACTCTGTATGCTACCCCAACAGTGACAGGAAAACCCATGAAGAATGCATTTTGTGCACCTGATAAGCATGCAAACAAATACACTTTTTAGAAAATCAACAAGACTTCTCTAACAGGTCAGCACAGCGCTTGGTGTGATGAAAACTGCACTTGAGTGCAGACCCACGGCACTGGAAGGGGCTATTCATTTGTTTTCCAAGCTATGGACTTAGTAAGCACTTGGGCAAAATATTGTTTGCGACCTGGGAACATTTAGGTTTGGGGTTTGCCGGAGTGTGAACTCACTGTATTTTATTTACGACGGTTCGCAGAGAGTGAGGCTGTTGAAAGGGTGCTGTTTTGGCATAGACAGGCGAGGGTTAGCTATGCCACAAGCCAAGGAAAACCGTGCCTGTGAGATGTGGTGATCTTGTTTCTAAGAGAATGTCTAGTGAGGGCTTCCTTTCAAATACCTAATTTTATCCCCCCCTCCAGCCCCAGCTTACTAAGTCACTGGGACAGTTCATTCTAAGTAAGCAGATTATAGTATCACATTTTTCCAGCTGAAGGACCCACAGATGTAAGAATCCAAGAAAAATGACCAGGACTTCGGTGGGGGCAGCCTTAGCAAGACCTCTGTAATGTTGGGCTCCCCCTGCCTCACCAGGCCCCTGGGAAGGAGCCGCCAGTGCCTGCAATTCCATGGTTTTATCAGGCACTTGAGAGTTAAATATACTTCTGGACTGAGCCCAAGTTTTATACAGAGATGTTTGCTCATTTTCATTAGATGCTTGTAGAATTATGGGCACCTTATGAATTAAGAGTTATTGCCTTTTTTCAGTTTACCTGTAGTGAGGGTTAAGTTTAGGGTATGAAATGAAGTGACAGTGAAAACTTGGATAGAGGGAAAAAGTGGGATAATAAAGGCACTAACAGGGTTTTGTGGAAGCTCTGATGCATACTCGTATTTTACATATATAACAGTTCCAATAGGTTCAAAGTATCTACAGCAGAGTTTAATATGGGGCAAACTGAACTTCTGCCAATTTACTCTGTGTACTGCTTTATTAAAATACTGAAAGTATTCCCAAGACATTTGGTTTAAGAGAGGGAGAGAGAGAGAGAGAGAGAGAGAGAGAGAGAGAGAGAAGGGAGATGAAAATGAGTAACTCTTGGCCCTTAAATGTGTGATTCTAAGCTGGATGTTACCAGCATATGACCAAGTCAGGTTCAAGCACGGCACTTCTCTATATCAAAATACTAACGCCTATTAGCCATGTTAGCACAGCACATAAATTGGAGCCAGACTGTCTGTCTACGGGGCTCTGCCCTGTGCTAGGCCATCAGCTGGAATTCCTCCTCTAGGGACACAATATAAAAATATCTTGGGAGAGGCAGCCATTATATATTTTTAAAGAAATGGGGGGGCTTTTCTTTTATTTTTTAAAGAACTCAAACTCTTGGAACAGTTACTCCTTTGAGACCTGATGCACATTTGCAGACTTGTGCGCACAGAGGCAGAAGTTGTGCAAGTTCATTACAGAAGGAGGAAGAGACACTAGCTCCACAACCCAAGGTGGAACTAGTGAGTGGGTTTGTTGGGATACATGAACTCTTTTAATCAGTGACAAGCGACAGAATGAAATTCAGTCATGAATCAGAAGGGAAACTTACCGGTTGAGATGTTTGTGTATAATGGATAGTCAGCGAGCTTAAGAGGTCTCAGGGGACTTGGAGAATGGTTTCAGGACCATTCATTTATTTAGCACATATTTATTAAGTGTCTACTCCATGTCAGACATGTTCAAATTCTGGGTCGAGAGCACAGAATCAAATAAGCAAAGTCCCTGCCCTAAAGGGATTTATATTATTATTGGATGAGCTATCTGATAAATAAATTGACAAACAATCCAAGCAAAGCTATAGTATTTCAGGTGGTGAAACAAATCATAGTCAGCAGATACAGAGGCTGTGGGCATGGGCGGTGATGGTTCATGTAAAGAGAACACAGGGAAGGCCTTTCTCAGGAGGTGACAGTTGAGGATGAGAGACCTGAAGAAGGTGAGGGAACTGGCCATGTGCAGACAGCAGTGGTGGCAGGGAACATGCAGAGGTAAGGATGAGGCTAGTGGGTGTGGAACAGCGTGAGGCAGAGTGACCCAGGTCAGGGGAGTGAAGTGGAACAAGTGTCCTAAGAAAGAGGGAGTGCTCAACTGGGTCAAATGCAGGTGAGAGTCCCCAGCAACATAAACTACGAATTTGGCAAGGCCATTCCTCAGACTTGAAGAGAGAGCAGTTTGACTGGCAAGCTAGGGAAAAGCAGAGAAAGAGGGCAGTGGCTTGAAACTGGGCTAGAGAGGCTTTTCTGGGGATAAGACTATTACAGCATGG